AACACCATACAACCTTCACAATGCTTCATGAATTCCATGCATTCTTTTCTTACAATCAATTTATTCAATTGATACATCATTCAATCTAATCCATAACCACTTGATATTAGATTAATTTTACATCATACCCAAACCTTACATAACACTTTATTAGTGTAACTTTCTTTATAAATTATCATGTTTACAAACTCTACATGACATGAATTTAACTTCCATTCTTTTACCATTTTCTTTTTACATAGCCATATTGACACCTATATGAATTCAATTACTTTTCTCACATCAAATCCAATTAAATCATGTTTAATCTTCATTCTTTTTATTGCTTGAACATTGCACAACATTTAATTATCAACATACATAATTCTTATACATTGAACCTAGGTTGGCCGAATTATTCATGCAATTATTCTACATGATTAACCAACTTAATCACTTTACAATTCACATTCATTTACACTATACCATTTTTTAAACACTCTTGTTCAATTACAAAGTCATTCATTGACATTTAACACTATGTATTCCAATGACACTTATATAATTTCTCTGTCATTAATTTGATCCATTTTCAATGTAAACCACTTTAAATCTTAATTAATCATACACTAGGCACACTTTAATCAACTTAACATGATTAAATATCAATCCTAGCTATTTTAATTTAACATGGTCAAATGGCCTTAATTTAAAAATTATAACTTTATCATATATTTTTCAATTAATTTATCTTGAACCAAACATCATTAAATTATCCTACACTCTTAATTTCATTTTAACATTTCATCAAACATATGGTTTACACATTAAACCCTATGATGGCCGAATTATGTATTGTCAAGATACAAGACTCTTGAACTTGTTTTAATCATTTTCAGGCATGGTTTTACATAGTTTTAACATACAACCTCAAAACAACTTCAAACAACATCAAATGTTCATAATCTTCACAAATCCTAATCAAACTTCAACACCATGAAATATCAACTTTCAACCATCAAAATTTAGAAGTAATACCTTAAATAGCTTCATTGAACACCAAACTTTTTTTTCCACCAAATAACTTGTCAAAACCCTAACTTTCTCTCTAGGTGAATAGTACCAACTCTCTTTGGGTGAAGGTTTCTCTCACTACAAAGCTCTTCCAGAAGAAAAGAAATTTAGGATCACAAGATCAAAAACTATCAGTTTTATGTAAAAGATTTTCTCCAAGAAGCGACTTAAACTCAAGAACTCACAAGCTCTCTCTCTCTCTAGCCTATGCCACAACCATGAAGTGTAGAAGAAGAAGAGGTTTTCATTGGACACTTAGAAAGGAAATGGTGACTGATTATGTTGTAAAAAAATACCAAAGTTACCTACTTTTACATTTTCCAACTTAGCACACTTGCTTAAATCCTATTGGTCCTAAAACTTTCCACTTGCATTGTCATCTTGTAATACAACATTCTAGATCCTCTTCTTCCACTTGCATAAACCGTCCAACAAGTGCAAGGGTGATTAGGATTGCTTACTTGGCAGTTTCTACACCTTTAGACTTTCAAACTTTCCATTCATTGGTCAATTTATTCAAGACTAGTCAACCTTGATTCTAATTGGTTAGTCAACACTAGACTTTGACCTTTAAGAATATAAAACATACAAGGTTACAAAGAATCAATCATACATTAAAAATCATGCAAAGAATTCACAAAGTTAAGTTATGTCACTAACTTAACAACTTTGTATTCATCTTTGACCTAAATCAATTTCCATTGGTTATTAGTTTTCCTTACTTTGACATATTTTTAGAAATTAATATAGACATTATTTGATCACATTAAGATCACTTTGAACCCATAAAATTAATTATAGAATTTAATTACATCATTAAAATCAACCTTTGACCTAACCTTGGTCAATTACCAAAGAAATCTTGACTTTTCACTTAATGACATCTATGTCCACACATATACCTTATACTTATTTTAGGTTCCTATTAGACTTGTTTGGCATGAACTGTATTCTTAACTTATTTATCATGTCAATTACATGATTTTTCGTTTACCAGTTCCTTGAATACATGTTTAAATTCTACTTAAACACTTAGTTAATTCACTGTCATCTATTTGACAGTGGGGGTTGTTATACAGAGCAAATAAGAACTTGCAAGAAACACGTGATGTCATAACTATGAGCAGTGGTTTTCTATGCATCTTGTTATTTTTTGGTTACCACTTCCTTTTTCAATATAAACCGTGATTAGAAAAACCTGTGCATTTAAAGTCATTTAAGTCATAGTAAATTGTTTTTAAATTGTGTTGATAGTGATCTCATTTCAATTGTTTTAATTATTGTCTAGTTTTAATTTTATTATAGTAAATGTGTGATTCACAATAAGGAAATAAGAAAAGACAAGTAAGGGTGAGAGCATATGTTCGATTCTTTCTAGTACGATATTTGGGAGGGTTTAAAGCTTTACTTCTAGGCCTGCCCTGAACTCCAGATTAGTCCATAGAGAACCTATGGAATTATAGGGGGATACTCTCCAAAAAAAAGGGCAAAGAGAAAGAGAACTATGAATCTTGGACCATGGATGATACTAATGAGTTGTTGCACCTCTTGGTGGATGCTATCAACAATGGATTGTGTGATGCTAATTGATCACTTAGCAAGCAAAATGTAGAAAAAGTGATACTTCATCATCTTAATGCAAAAACTAGGTTTCCTAAAACTTATAATCATTACTTGAGTCGGCTAAAGTGGTTAAAGAACCAATATAACAAAATATCTATGCTTATGCGTAATAACACTAGCTTTGAGTGAGACACAATAACAACAACGGTCGCTTCTAGTGATGAAGTATGGGAAGATTACTTGAAGGTGAACTTATTAGTTCATAATTTTTTTAATATATTAATAGCTTACTAGATTAGTACATTAGATTATTTGCAATACATTAACAAAGAAAAATTTGTTATTTGCCAATCTTATCCAAGTCACATTAAGCTTCGTGAAAAGAGTGTAGTTGATTATTAATATCATTTTATTTCTTTTCTTTTTTATTGATTCTTGTAATTTTGAATATTTGTTAAAAATTATATGGTTTTTAATATCTTATAAATTCATATTGTCCTTTCAAATGTTATAAATTTTATTAAAATTCTTTTAAATCCAATCTTATAAAAAATCTTAAAAATTAGTATAATACTTAATAATCTTTTGAAATCTGTAAAAAATTTATTTGAAAATAATCTTTTAAAATCCTAATACAATACACCCCTAGATAAAAATTATAAGAGTAAAGCCTCTTTTAGGTCCCTAACAAAAAATACGGTCCCCATTTTCATCCCTTATAAAAAAATTAGTCCCGAGATCCCTAAGAAAGACAAAGTAGGCCCACGTTAGTCCTTCCGTCAGTCAGAATCCCACTGCGTTAGTAGCGCCGCTGAGGTGTCACGTTAACTCTGAGTCACATTCCACCTTGGACATAAATACCCAATCAAAATACTCCACGTGTCCATGTTAAAATATATGCTTTATTAAAATCATCATCTTCAACAGTGTTCATCGCCTTCAACACCAGCGTGTCTGTAACGTATATTTGCAACGATCGGGTAGCGGGCAGGTGCTCTGGCCGTAACGACCTCAGGACTCTTCGGTGCTTCGCCTCAATGGAATAGAACCACTTGCACGTTAACGAGAATGACTTCTTCTCGAATGGATCCGAATCTAGAAAGTACGGCACTACTAAAAAAGTTTGCATTAGGGACAGATTTTAAAGACGGAAAATATTCCGTCTCTAATTGGGACGAATTTAGAGACGGAAAAACAATTTGTTCCTATTTGGGACGAAATTAGTGATGAAATAAGAATGTGATGCATACAGCTACAAGGCCCTGCTTCTCTCGAGACAGCTTTGAAGGTATCTTGTACGAGTTATAAGAATGTGTTTTGGACTCTATATTTTATGCTTTTTTTAGATAACTAATAATGTGTTCAAACCTTTGCAGGGCATAACTTACTTTAAGCCTTCATTCAAAGTGGACAAATAAGTTGATGATGGAAAGTAGCATTTCATCATAAGTAATTTGTTAATGCTTATAGCTCCTATTCTATATGTTGTAATTTGGGATTGGATAAGCTTGACAATTATTTAATGCAGAGATGATGTTTGGGACTTGATGATAATATATGTATTCAACTTTTGTTAGATCTTTTTAAAAATATTATTGCTTTTCAATTTGTTTCTATTTTATGGTTATTGTGACTAAAATATTCAGCAAATAAATAAAAAAATAGCCCTAATTTATTGTCGTTATTAATTTTTTTTATAAAAAAATGTCATTAATTAGCCACGGTTAAACCGTGCTAAATAACAATAGAATCGTAGCTAAATCAGAACTATAGGGACGGACAAAATTCGTCCCTAATAGGGACGGACAAAATCCTTCCCTAATTCCGTCCCTATTAGGGACAGATTTCTACCTTTTACAACTCTCAATTGTTGACAATATTAGGGACGAAAAACACATGTCAGGGACGGATTTTATTTCGTCCCTATTAGGGACAGAACTAAAGTTACGTCCCAAAATATTAGCGAGGAGCGATTTAGGAACAAAAACTGTTCCGTCTCAAATTTCGTCCCTAAATTATTTAGGGACGGATTTATGGCTTTTAGGGGCGGAATTTGTCCATCCCTAATACCTGTTTTTTTAGTAGTGCGAGATTGTGAACGCATTAGACAAAAACAAGAACTGATATTTGATCTAAATCTCTGAATAGTAACTCACGGAAAAAAACAAGAGCTGAAATGAGAAATACATATTGTGCTAAGAATCTAAACTCAACTTAGTAGTCTGTAAACAAACGCTGAGGAAGTGTAAGATTAACCGTGGAAGAGACTACAATAAGAAAAATGATACAAAAGTTCAAGTAGGAAAGCAAGCAAGAAGCAAAGAGGAATGAAAGTACACAACATAACCATCTTTACAATTACAATTATTTACAACAAAACATGATCACCTACCATCTGTTGATGTGAAAGACTTGGCAAATCCATATGGATGCGTAGGTATGCTTATGCGTGTGTTATCTAATCTTAGAAGGAGTGAAGAAGAAGATGGTTCCATTTGGCTTCTTCATTCATAAGCCTGCCACTTCGTAAGTGCTTGTGGTAAAGACAAGACATATCTAAGTCAATTACACACACTCACATGTATATATATATATATATATATATATATATATATATATATATACACACACACACATACATAAAGGAGAGTTATTCTTACAACCTAAAAGTTTTACATCCTCTTACAACCTATTTTTTCACTATTGATTTTCGTCAATCCAACGATTATAATTGTGACACCCTCCCATGTATGCATCCAAGGGAGTTGTCTGCTAAGCGGATTAGAGTCATAACGAAATTGAATTAATTACTGAAACTGCATTTTTAAGTCATGAAATAAAATCATATAACGAAATCTGGTTGTGCATGGAAAATAGAGTGAAACTTTATTCAGTACACTATTTGCTGAAATAGTAGTTTTCTAGAAAAACCTTGCTGCATTAAAAAAATCATATCAAATTGAATTTAATAGCTTAAAGAAAATTCTTTGACACAAGAAAACTGGACATTCAGGACTTTACGTGCATATAAAAATTATTTCAATCGGAGGTCTGTAGCTCCTGAAACAGAACTCGCAAGGTATCCGATAAATCAGTACAAGTTTCCCAAAAACTACCTGACTTGCAAAAATCATATAAAACCAGGCCTACATGCTTTTGACATAAACTTTATATAATCTGAAACTAGACATCTGGGGCTTTAAGTACATATAAATTATACTCCAATCGAAGGTCTGTAGCCCCAGAAACGAAACTCGCAAAGTGCTCGAAAACTTAGTCCCAAGAATCCGAAATTTGAACGGTAGAAATTGTTTGCCAAAGTAGGAAAAACCAGAATTACATAAGTCTTAAGTAAATACAATCATCAAGCTACTGCATGTTCCCCAAACATAAATACTAAATTCAATTAGTCAACTTCCAAAAACTATATAACATCAAGATTCAGCACACAACCAAATAGATAGCGAGCAAACAACATGATTTAAACAGCAGCACTCAACAACAGATATCCAAAATACTACGTCATCAATTGCTCTTACGTCCTCCTGCAATTTTATAAAAATTAAGCCCCAAAAAGGGGTGAGAAAAATCTCAGTAGTGTGATAGCAAAACCAGTATTGCAACAATATCAGTCTAGGTACAAAATTCTAAAACAGTCGCATCAACATTTAAATTCAGAATAGATGCTAAATCAGGATCAGAATGCGTACATAACGTCAGGATACTAATAAGAATGCGTATATAATGCCAGAATACTAATCAGAATGCGTATATAACGCCAGAGTAATGTACGTTCATAGCACTGCAGTGCACGTACTAACTAACTAACACAGTGGAGATTCCAATTGGCCCATCAGAGGGGAATTCCATCTGCGACCTATGCGAACTGAGCCACGGTTCCGTTCCCTAGTACCTGAGGGATGCCTACATGATGCATGCTCAAACACATGTGTCTTATCATAAATACTTATAGTTCACAAAACAACATGAGAATAATGTGTGTATGCCATGATATGTTTCACACGCACAAAAAGAACAGATGCAATTATGATGTATATGGGCATGACTAAATTAGAATCAGAGTACCATATATCTCATATAACAAATACTTCCAAAAATAGAATTTCCATTATGACAAGTCCAAGGCAGATTCCAAATAATATTTAACAGGATACAAACCCAAGGCACATGTGAACAACAGTTCAAAATTCCATACACTAGCTAATAGTCACAAAAGGTCTCGCCACCAAACACTTACCTCGGCGCTTACAAACTTTTAATCAAATCGCACCAAACAGTCCACATTTTAGGATCTTGCGCACCGAACAAATATATGTACCAAGTCAGAATTTATTACATAAAATTCCTATACATTACATAGCTTTTCCATCCTCCTAAATCCTTGATTTATGATCGGGTTCCATGTTCACATACTAAACAATGTTCTGCCATAAGATTGGTTAACCAATTGTCCTCAATTGACAAAATCCAAGGTAATCCACACATGTATGTTCGGTTTTCAATCATCACTAGGTGCTTATGATTTTCATTTAACAAAACGCTACCTTCATATCACTTATACATGAGCTAATTAGATTATTTAACATGCTGTCTTCATGAGTTATAAACACATGCAAGGCTTGAATCAAATCGGGTTTCATGGTTCTTGCACTAATTTAATTATTTTGACTTAGAGCTTATTTCACCAATAGATAATAAGTGACATAATCATGATCTTCCATGCATGTAGGTTCAGTTTCTTGTCCATTAATTAGGTGCTTATACTTCACAGTTTCATAATATTTCTACATGACTTAGGTGTAAGTGATTAGGGTCCTTAATATGCTGTCTTCACGGTTTTTGCATAGTCAAGGCTAGATATATGATGCCAATTAATGAAACAGTCCAACATTTTGGTGAGGGCTATATTCCAAACCCCAAAATTAGTTCATAGGCTTGCATGCAAAAAAGGGTTGGCTGTCCTCACACTAGGCAGAAACAGGGAAGGAGAATGACAACAATCAATTCTCCTTGTACACATACAAGGGTCGAAATAGTGAAGAGAAGGAAATGACTGGAGTTTTGGTCTTTACCTTCTTGTAGGGACTCCAACGTTCACCTATGGTCAAGGGGAATAGCTACCAAGGAGCGAGCAACACTTTCACTCCTCCTATGCTCCACAACTCGGTTTGTTACTGCATGCAAATGAGGAAGTTCCATCAAGGGCCGAACAGAGGGTGTAGGAATGATAGAGTAGATGGACATAATACCTTCTTGAACGTTGATGTGCAGCTGACTAGTACAGACGAAGAGAATCGAAACTTGGTGATGATGTTTTCCTCTCAACTCATGGTTTTAAGGAGGTGAGGGGAGGATTGCTCACGGTTTTTGTGTGGTAGGTGAGGATGAGGTGAAATTTTGTTTCTTTGTGCTCTTCCCCTAAGGCTGGCGGTGTAGGAAAATGATAGTGACAAACATACAGCTTTGGGGTTCCAAGATCACACGCATAGGGAGGAGAAAGGGAATAAATCTTTGGTACTACTGTTGTACCAAAGATTCAGTGCATCCCACCAATAAAAATATTACATGTCAGTTAATTTTATTTTTTTTTGTCAATTTGTTTCTCTCTCCTCTGATCTGATGTGTAATGCTCTCATTGATGAGATGCACTGAATTTAGGTACAACAGTAGTACCAAAGATTTATTCGGAGAAAGGAGCCTAAGGTGCGGCTGAGTTTGGGTCAAGGGCAGAATTGATAAACACCCAGCTTGAAGCTCCACCACTAAACGCATGGAGAGGAGAGGGTGATGTGAAGGCAGAATGATATATTCTGAATCAAAAGATACAAACAGATGAACTTTACCCCTATGAGGCGCACATGGAGAGAGGATACGATGGGATTGAGTGTGTGGAGTTGGACCAATAAAGAAAATTGAAATCTCTTTACTTTCCTCTCATAGGCCGAAGGGGCGGCTAGGGCTGATTGCTTTTAGCAATTGACCAGAATATTACCTTATTTCATTCCTATTCTGCGTACAATTGTGAAAGGGATGATAAAGAAGAAAGTGTGATTTACAGCCAATGGGTCATGCACCTAGAATAGACCAATAGAGAACCATTCATTCAGATTTATTAAAATAGATATAAGGAATAGGATGTATTTTATTATTCCCTATTATTTCTACGTTTTAAGATTTTCTATATTATAATTAAGTTACTCCTATCCTTTTAACTAGAGTTTCAAATTCCTAAAACACATACCCACACCTAGTTATATTTAGCACAATTTTCATGGTTTAAATTAAGTCCACCCTAAACATACATAAGATCCGAGTTCAAGACAAGCCTCTATGTTTCCCACTAAAATTGATATAATTTCCTAATTTCGCGGGATGTTACAATAATTTATTGGAATTAATAATTAATTAATAAATTTGACCTAATAAATCATAACTGTTGGATTGACAGAAATCAACGGTGAAAAATAAATTGTAAGATGTTGTAAGTGAAAAGAGGTTGTAAGAATAACACGTATATTTATATATATATATATATATATATATATATATATATGTATATTTAGAATTATGATCATATGGTTTCCACAACTCTACAAGAGAAGAAAGCACATTAACAGCATGACCTGCATCAAGTCTTTGATATGGTTCCCTGGCACAACAATGGCTAACTAACTCAGTTACGGTGTGAATACTCATTGAGCTCGATTGTGCGGTCGATGGCCTCGCAAAATATGTTCTTATTTATGTACATTCTACGAAACCATGTTACAAGAACTTGCAAAGAGTAGGGTAGAAAAAAACAAAAAAGATACCTGCATATTCTGGTGCCAAATATCCAAAAGTTATTGCAATTCTTGTTTCTATTGAAGCTTTGCCTTCTGGAGCAAGACGCACAAGACTTAAATCTGCAACCTTAGCCCTCATATCATCTCCAAGGAGGCATCAAATACTAAACCGGAGGCCTCTGCAATACATGATGGTGAATACCAATTAACAAAGAACGCGTTTTCAAGTCTTGGATGCGGAAAATATAGTGGTACCGCCATATACATTACTAATGCTTTTCTATTTATTTATACTTAATGGTGTGAATTTTGTCTTTCTTATTTGTTGTGTTGAAAGTTTTCATAGGGGCCTATAGTTTTGTCTTATTTGAACACGAGGAATATTGCTGACATTATATTGTTTTTACAAACATTTCATTAATAATGGAGTGTATTTGGCTTAATGCCATTAGAACGAGGACCTTTTTACTTCAATTACAGAGGAGCTGAAGTAGAAGAAAGGCAAGAAGACTTGCCAGAAATATTTTTGGCACCGGAGTTGCAAAGATAGGCTACCTAATCGTTCCCGCTACCCGATCGTTGCAAATATATGTTACAGACACGCTGGTGTTGAAGACGATGAACAGTGTTGAAGACGATGATTTTTTTAACATGGACACGTGGAGTATTTTGATTGGGTATTTATGTCTGACTCAGAATTAACGTGACATCTCAGTGACGTGACTAACGTCGTTGGATTCTGACCTACAGAAGAACTAACGTGGATCCACTTTGTTATCTCAGGAATAATTTTTTTTTTAAGGGACGAAAATGAGGACCATGTTTTCTGTTTGGGACCAAAAGGAGTTTTATGGATGTATTGGATTGGGTTTTCAAAGAATTTTAATGGATTATTTTTGGACAAAAAAAATTCATTGGTATTCAATTAGGATTTTAAAGGATTGAAAAAAAAAATCAGGTGATATTCAATTAGGATTTTAAAAAATTATTTTAGAGTTCATCCAAATTCATTGATATTCAATCAGGATTTTAAACAAAGGAAAAATAATCTTGTGGTATTCAAAATTCTGACAATTTTAATGGATTTTTTATTAGTGTGGATTTCATGAGACTTTTTAGTGAAAAATATAAATAGGATGTCTCTTTCACAATCTTACCCTAACCCCTAGAATTTCTTGAGATTTCTCTATTGCAGTGTCTTCTTCTCCCTTTGGCGGGTTGACATGCTTGAAACCGGGTTATGCTATGGGAGCTTCATTAAAGCTCAGAATTAACGTGACATCTCAGTGACGTAACTAACGCCGTGGGATTCTGACCTACAGAAGAACTAACGTGGATCCACTTTGTTATCTCAGGACTAATTTTTTTTTAAGGGACGAAAATGAAGACCATGTTTTCTGTTTGGGACCAAAAGGAGTTTTAGGGGGTGTATTGGATTGGGTTTTCAAAGAATTTTAATGGATTATTTTTGGACACAAAAATTCATTGGTATTCAATTAGGATTTTAAAGGATTGAAAAAAAATCAGGTGATATTCAATTAGGATTTTAAAAAATTATTTTAGAGTTCATACAAATTCATTGATATTCAATTAGGATTTTAAACAAAGGAAAAATAATCTTGTGGTATTCAAAATTCTGACAATTTTAATGGATTTTTTATTAGTGTGGATTTCATGAGACTTTTTAGTGAAAAATATAAATAGGATGTCTCTTTCACAATCTTACCCTAACCCCTAGAATTTCTTGAGATTTCTCTATTGCAGTATCTTCTTCTCCCTTTGGCGGGTTGACATGCTTGAAACCGGGTTATGCTATGGGAGCTTCATTAAAGCTCAAAAGCAGCATATTTTTGAGCCATTTTTGAGAGCTTTTAGAAGTTTAAAAAATGATTTTTCAAGTTGAGTCGCAATTTTTATTGGCACAGAAATGTGTGATTTTTGTATTTAAAATACAGAAAAATATTTCTGCAGTTAATGCAGATAAGTTATCTGTTTTTACTTCCAAAACGACGTTGTTTTGGGATTGAAAGATAAAAATTTAGAATCATAATAATTATAACAACCCCGAAATAAATTAAAATTATAAAAATACCATGATTTTCGCCCTAAAACGATGTCGTATTGGGTTTACTGCAGATAACTTATCTGCAGTAATTACAGAAAAAGCGAACCCTTAAAAATAACATAAAACAATAAAAAAACAACAGGGGAACTAAAACCCTGAAACCATTTTTCGTTTTACATCAATGAAACAACATTAATTTAATGAAAGATTGAAACTTTCATAACATGAATCATATATTTCGTAACAATATATTCATGAACGAAATTCCTTTGCTATAGGAAGCAATTTCAAACTATTTTTGTGTCAATAGATAATTAAAAACTTGTTTTTCAAAAGCCCCAAACAATATAAGTTTTTTGATTTATCGATTGAAAATAATTTGAATTTTTTTTTAAACTTTCATGTAATAAAATCCAAAATTCAGATTCGAATTTTTTTAAAAATACTTAAAGAAAACAAGCATATGATATATGGTTAGAAAACTCTCATCACGTAAAACAAAAATCCCAAGGTTTTCATGATCAATTGTAAAAAATTCCAAACGAAATTTTATCATGAACTTTAGATTCTATATGCAAATTTAAAATTATTTTAATAAATAAAAAAATTAGATCTTATAATCATATATGTATAGCTCTGATACCAAATGAAGAAAATAATTTTCAACCCATTGTCAAACCCAAGAGCAGGAACGAGAAAATACTAATACATGGAGGACTAATATAGCTTTAGATATGTGGAGAGTTATTGCTTAGTATTTTTGAATATTTGTTAAAAATTATATTATGTTTTACTGATTGAGAAAATTATATTATGTATTATTTTTTATTAATATTATTGCATTTCTTTGTTATTTTTTTCTTGACTCTTGTAATTTTGAATGTTTGTTAAAAATTCATATGATTTTTTAAAATCTTATAAATTTATATTTGTTAGGAATGTGGCTTCCATACTCAAGAGGGGGGGTGAATTGAGTATTACAAGATTTTTGCAAAAGCCCCATTCTAGTTTCTAAATAATCATTTCAAATAAACTTTGATATGTGGAAAGCTAATCAATATATTCAGACAATCCATAATATATAATATATCACAATTATAGAACTTATACTAGCACATACAAGATATCAAAGAAACAATTAAAGTGCTAGAAATAAAGAGTTTACAATTTAGCGAATTGCAAACTCAATATATCCTAGTTTGGTCACCACCACTTGTGACCTACGTCATGATTGAAGCCGCTCGATCAACTCTTTCACTAATGGTCGAGCTTCACGGGTGCTTGACAAACCTTTACAATCTTCCAAGACTTCGGGTTCTTGGATACCTTTCAATTTCCAAGTTTACGAGTACTTGGTAACCTTACAATTCACTCCAAATTTACTTAGGTATTTGGCTACCTTTCAAACAATGGGTTCACAACCCTTTCAACTCAAGAATACAAGGAAGGAAATATTTAGAAATTAATATACACTCTCAAAGTGTGGATATACAACTTGAAGCACTATGGATATATGGATTTTCAAGATATGAGCTCAAATATGTTTGATCTTTGAAAGATATAAAAGAATATGCAAATGATAGTGTAGAAGCTCTCAAAGTATGCTTAATATGTGTAGAAATGATGTCCAATGTTTTTGAGTCATTGGGAATGCATATATAGAGTTTTCATTGAAAACTAGCCGTTTATAGCCGTTGGGATCTCAATTGAAAACTAGCCGTTGGGAAAACTAGCCGTTTATAGTCGTTGGAAAAATAGCCGTTTATAGCCGTTGGGATCTCATTTGAAAAACTAGCCGTTTTATAGCTGTTTATAGACGTTGGGATCACTTTTGAAAAACTAGTCGTTGTGATCTTGGCAATAATTTGAGTTATACATGTTGGCTTGATGTGATCTTGGTTTCGTTGAAAAGATAAAAGATAGATCTACAACTTTTATGAAGAACAAAAGATCCAAATCCATTATCTTAGATACGAAAAATTGTATGGAAGACAGCAGCGAAATTAAGCAACAAATTTTAAGTTCAAATGTGTTCTAGCTTGCTTCCAACTACTTTTTGAGAAAGATCTTGACTTGATAAATATGTTTTGAATTTATAAAATATGTCAAGGATCTTTTCCATGGATTTTTCAAATTTCTTTCAAGTATATAAAGTTTATGATTATGCAGTTTGAAAAACACGTTTAATTTGAGAAAAACTTGGAGCTCATGCAATTCAATCTATCATATACCCTCACATATATTCTAAGTCCTAAAGACATATTCTAAATATGATTTTAGACTTAGTCTCATGTCTTGTGTCTTGGATCTTTACCTGAACTTGAGGCTTTTATTTGTTGAATATGACAATACTTGACACTTTGTTGGTTTGGATCATTTGTCACCATGGTTATGATATTGAGCTTCTCTTAGATGTTGTTCATGGTTTGTTGTCTTTGATCTTGATGTTGCTCTTCTAATTATTCCTTGTTGCTCTTGATCCAATGATCTTTCCACTTTGATATGACATCACTCTTCTTGTGTGGCTACATCATACATATTCAATATCCACATATGGCTGATGCTTTTTGCTCTTGATCAATACTCTTATCTTTTTGTTGTTGCCACTTTGTTATCATCAAAACATACTTTGTATCTACAATCTCCCTTTTTTTGATGATGACAAACTTAAAATTGAGAAAGGGTTAGTGTAACAAATATTCCCAAATAATGTATATCATGCTCCCTCTCAATTTATGAATGATTTAAAACAACATATATGTATATGGTGGAAGAATGTAATTTTCTCAATTTTCATATATTTCTCCCCCTTTTGGCAACATCAAAAAGCATAAATCAAGATAAGC